CATGGCTTCCTCAAGTTCAACTCTAACTAAATACAAATATGCATGTGATTAGAGGTTATGTTAATACTAATATTGCAACATCGACAATATATCTGTAGAAAATGGGATTGAAGTTTCGTACTTGAGCCAACCTGCATCATTTTCAATCCATTAGAGCCTTTGATATGCTAAAATAATATTTGAAATCTCTAGTTAAAAATGGATCTTCACTTTGTTGATTGGTCAAGGCAGATGTATAGCATTGCTATCCCAACCATTCGTCTACTTGCAAAACTTGTAATTTACGCGAGCATGGGCCACAAGCATGTTGAAGCATGCATGCATGCGTTTTTTCATACGTACCATTATTGTTCACTGGTGACCGCTGACCAGACAAGCAATTATGGGTAGAATTCACTTTCACACTTTTGGAGAAACCCCAATTATTTCACGCAGCCCTCCACTTCCCTTCAAGGCTTTTTGATTATTGCATCACCTCATTCGAATATTCATGCCCTCCTGCTGCTACCTTACTAGAGCCTGTTATGGAGAAAGCAGCAGGTGCTTAATCACCTTCAAGTGTTTTTCTTAAGCATATATGAATTTTCAATAAAATTTTTGACGTGTGAATAATAACACTTCTAGTAAAAAAACGTTTATGAATAAAAGTGTTTTTTTATAAAAGTAATTGCAAATGAGCTCTTAATCATTTAGAGTGGTATTAAGCCCACATCAATCATCCAAATAAATTTAGGGGCCATAACCCTTTTTCCTTTTTTTTCTTTTTAGTTTTCATTTTTGTTACTAAAGATATAGAGAAAATATGAGAGAAAGGGGATTAGGGTCTTCCTCAGTGTTACACTAGATAAAATACTTTCAAACTTAATATTTATGAAAAAGCAAGTGGTGAATTGTCTTGGTGGTTAGGATCTTCCTCTTTAACCCACTACAACCTAAGTTTAAACTCTCATCGCTTCTCACAGTTTAAATAAATTTAGTGTAAATAATCTATCGTTTGTATCATTTGTAAAAACAAAATATTTTATAATAAATAAAAAAAACCAAAATTGAATTGATAATGGGTAAAGAAATTTCAAACCTCATTAACAATTAATTAAGCTTGACAATTGAATAGATAAGGAGTTCTTGAATTCCTTTCATAATCTCTTATTGTCCTTAATCTAAGATTACTGAGATTCCTTTCATCATCTCTAAATCAACTCAGTTCTTGAAGTACTTTTGTACAGTTTTAGAGTGTTTTTTCCAATTACTATTTCATCATTCAATAAGAGACGACGAAAGAAATCTTAGTAATCGTAGATTACGTAGGTCATAAAACGAACTTAAACACTTTTAATCCCATTATTATTAATAGTGTCACGTTTCGTTGATCTGACGGAGGAATGGGACAGTTCCGGAGGCATGAAGCCAAAACTTGTGTGCAAATGAACACTCACAAAAGCAAGATGGTTTAGGATGGTGGTTGCTTGTAAAAAGCACAAGCAAAGCCTACAAAACATCTTTACTTAAGGAATGACCACAATCAAATAGAATCTTGAAATTATGTCGTTTTGGGTAGGAAAGTGATTTTCAGATACTCATTTTCTTATGTTTACTTTTAGCCTTTGAATTGAATTAGTTAAATGAGAAATTATAGAAATAATCAATGGTGTGTGGAAAGATAAAAGGGGCATGTAGGTATTATTTCTCATTTTTGAAGAAGTTGAAGTTCCAACAAAACTAGTCAAATGAGAACTTAGGGTGCGTTTGTTGCACACTATCTTGGTCTGGACTAGCTTCAGGGACTAAGCTGGACTAGCTTAGACTAGACTAAGTTGGACTGACTTAGTGAAGTGTTTGGTGCAGTGCCGGACTAAGAAGCAAGATAATTAAAAAAAAAAAAAAAAACCCCGTGAGAAGTTCAATATTAAATGACTTATTTAATATTGAATGACTTATTTAATATTGAACTTCCATGTTATTTGCTTCAACTTTGATGTCCATGTTATTTGCTTCAACTTCAATTTCAACCAACATCAGAAGTTCAACCAAATTTTCCAGTTCTCAAATCCAACATTAAAGTAGTAAAAACCAATCAAATTTTCAACTAAAATTAACAAGTATATACACTAAAATTACATAATTCAATCAAGAAAGCAAGTAACCATATTTTCATTTTCTATATCAAACAGATCCAACTGATAGTCAAATATGATATCACCAACAAAAACTTCATCTGGGTTTCAAACATAATCCGAAAAATCAACCATGGTGTTGGGTTATTCCTAGAAACCAATTAAACCTACAGATATATGAGCTTGGAGTCAACGCATGGTCACCAACGCTGAAGAAGCTCTCATGGTCGCCAACGTATTTGGTGTGATAGAGGAAAAGAATCTCACTCAATCCAAGCTCATTCATCACCCAATTGGTTCATCAAAGTCATCATCTAGAATCCACCATCAGCTCAGCGGCTAAGAAAATTAAAAATCACCCAACAAAGCTTTTCAGAACAAAAATCATACAAAATTATAGAAATTGAAATTCACAGAAATTGATATCAAAAATACCACAGCCAAATAATTTCTCTAACCTAAAAAATCATAGAGAAATTGAAATTCACAATCATAGCACAGCCAAATCAAATTCAAGTGCAAAAATTGAAATTGTATTCTAAAAAGAGAAACGCTCTCACCAGGAGTTGCTTCACAGCCATGGCAATGGCAAGGAAGAAGAAGATGATTGAAAAGATGCAGTCGACGACGTAATCGGCGGAGATGAAGCAGTTGACAAGTTCGTCGTCGGAGATAAGCTGTGCCCGAAGCCTGTGCTGTCGAAATCGAGGTCGAGGAGGTGAATCTAGCAAGACGAAGGGAAATTCTTAGCTAGTCCCATGGATTTTTAGTGAACGCGAGTCCCAACTAATCCCATTAAAACTAGTCCCGTATGGAAACAAACAAGGATTACACTAATATTTAATCTAGTCTAATCCAATGAAAGTTAAGGAGGTCAAACAAACACCCCCTTATAGAATAAACAATGGAGTGCAGAAGGAAAAAAGGGGTGTGCATGTTCATTTCTCATTTGTGATGAAATTAAGGTTTCACTATAAAATCAATTAGCAAAATGGGTGACGTGGAGCGCATGTGGTTATTGAGCTTCACACATGGGACAAACTGCTATGATCCCATAAAAAAAGTTAAGGTTCCACCATAAAACCAATTAGCAATATGAGAAGTTACGCAACTACTTATAAGCTTATGCAGGGTCTCTTATGTAAGAAATAATCTGACCTTTAAAAAATGAAGAAGATAAAGTCATTGTCAACTTCAATAGAAAACTTCTCCTCTCCGCCAGATACAAAATGCTCAAAACAACAGGGCTTTCATCCAATAATGAGCGCATTTTTTTTTTCATCCAATAATGTGCAGAGGCAAAGTTGAAGTTAGACTCAAAGACTGTCTCTTGTAATTTTATGGGATTTCCTAATAAATCCAAGGGTTAAAGGTTTTACTCTCCTAGTCTTCCCAACATGATATTTGAGACAAGTGTGGCCAAATTCATTGAAAGTGATGAAGACTTCCAAGATTATCAAAGTAAAGAGATAAGCTTTGATTTTGATGAGACAATGGTTGTGCTTCCTGATATTAAGTTGGACCTGATTGTTAATAATGATACCATGAACACATGTATTGCACAAGATCACCATGGGGTTCTAAATTAAGTTCAACCACAGATAGAATTCAAGATTCAACAATTCAATCATCCAAGTGATCAAACTCAGACACAAAATGCAACTGAGCCTTCATCATCAACAGGAAATAAATTGCTTGAACAACAAGTCACCCTTGATAGGATAGTGCAACCACCGAGAACTAGGAGGTCAGTAGTCCCTGATGAGTACCTAGTTTATCTCCAATAAATTGAAGTCACTGAGGTATTTCAGAAGATCCAATCACGTTCGAACAAGCAATGAAGTCTGAGCATTCTAATCTTTGGTATGAAGCAATGGTGGATGAATTAAAATCTATGTAGGTCAACAATGTGTGGACTCTAGTTCATGCACGTGAAAATGTCAAAGCTATAGGGTGCAAATGGGTGTTTAAAACCAAGAAAGATTCAGTTGGCAAGATTGAGAGATACAAGGCGAGATTGGTGGCTAAGGGTTTACTCAAACTGAGGGAATTGATTACATAGAGACTTTCTCACCAGTCTCAACAGCTTTAGTGGCACATTACAACCTTGAGCTTCACCAAATGGATGTTAAAACGGCATTTCTCAATGGTGATCTGGAAGAAGACATGTACATGAGTCAGCCCCCAGGCTTTGTGAAAGAAGGAGAAGAAAACATGGTATGTAGGTTAAATAAATCTATATATGGTTTGAAGCAAGCCTCACGTCAATGGTATTTGAAATTTGATGAGAAAGTGACTACCCTTGGTTTCCATGAAAACAAAATCGATGACTGCATTTATTTAAAGGTGTGTGGCTCGAAATTCATATTCCTTATTTTATATGTGGATGACATCTTTATTGGTGTATAAATGTATTTGCTGTGTTAGGTTTATTATAAGCATTATGCAGGTTTTAATGTAAGTCATTGGATCATATTCCATATGGTATCTAGATTAGATTGTAATGAGTCATATCTCATGACAAGTGTAAGCATCTTACATGATGGCTTAGAAATGAATGGTTGTGATGTTTTTGTAATGTTGTGAGAGAGTGAAGTTGTTTCTCACTCCTCCAACGGTAAAACATGATCTTTGAGCTCCTTGCTTACAGAGCAAGCTAAATACATTGAAATCTAAGAAAACTCTGTTCTCTGTGTGTGTTCTTACTGTTCCATTGAGTCTACCTAGAAAATCAAACGCTAATATGGTATCAGAGCCAGGTTGGATCTAAATCTGGGCGTGAATCTGTGACAAGGTTCGCAGCTGAGGAACTCGGAGAAGAATCGGGTTCGCTGTGACTAAAGAAATTTCTGAAACATTTTTGGGTTACTCGATAACAAGTGTGATATGGCTGGATCGAGTGGTGCTGATCTAAGAGCACCAGTTTTCCATGGAGACAACTTTGATTTTTGGCAAATAAAGATGAAGACCATCTTCAGATCTCACGATCTGTGGGATATGGTAGAGAAGGGTTATAGTCCTTCGGCGAAGAGTGAAGGAGAACTCACTGCAACTGATCTCAAACTTCTGAAAGAGAACATAGTGAAGGATGCTAAGGCTCTCGAGATTATTCAAGGTGCTGTGTCCGATGAAATTTTCCCACGAATCGCCATACTTGAGATGGCAAAAGAGGCTTGGGATGCACTGAAGCAAGAATTTATTGGGGATAAACAAGTGAGATCTGTGAAACTCCAAAGTTTAAGGCGTGATTTTGAATATACTCGTATGGGTGAAAATGAAGCATTCTTTGTGTATGTTGTGCGATTATTTGATCTTATGTCACAAATGAAAAGTTATGGTGAAGATATAGGAAATCAAAGAATTGTGCAGAAGCTATTGATAAGTTTGCCTAGGTCATATGATAGTATTGTTGTTGTGATAAAAAAAACTAGGGATCTGGAAACTGTTGATGTGCAGGATGTTGTTGCTACTCTAAAGGAGTATGAACAACGGATTGAGAGACACTCTAAAGATAGAAATGAAAAGTCATTTGCTAGTTTAAGTATAGCTCCCAGGAAGACTAACTATAAAAAGGTCGTACCCAGTGCACAAGGCTCCCGCTTTACGCAGGGTCTGGGAGAGGTGAATGCCAATTAAAACTTCAAACCCACAAAGAATTGGAAGTCTAAGGGTAAGAAGTGGGATAACAAACCTGTGCATCAGCAAGGGAAGTTTGTTACATCCTCTGATGGAGCTAAGAATTCCTGCAAATACTGTGACAAACTCCACTTTGGAGAATGTTGGTTCAAAGGAAAACCAAGGTGTCATAATTGTGATAAGCCAGGGCATTTTGCCAAAGATTGCAGATCTAAGAAAGCAGTTCAACAAGCAAATTATGCTCGACAAGTGGATAATAATCTAACTATGTTTTATACGTGTATGACAGCTGTTGTGAAGAAGCATGAAGACACATGGTATATTGACAGTGGTTGTAGTAACCACATGACAGAAAGAGAATATCTATTGGTGAATATAGATAAGAAAGTAACTGCCAAAGTAGAAATGGGCACAGGACAATTAGTTGATGTGGTTGGAAAGGGTGACTTAATGGTTGAAACTAAGCAAGGCAAAAGATATATAAGAGAGATTATGTTTGTACCTGGTTTGAAGGAGAATCTGTTAAGTGTGGGACAGATGATGGAGCATGGATATTATCTTGTCTTTGGGGGAATTGAAGTCAGAATTTATGATGATGCTACATGCTCAAATCTAGTTGTTAAAGTTCCAATGAAAGGAAATAGAAGCTTTCATTTGAAATTACAACCAGGAATTCACTTTGCCATGAGGGCTAGTGTTGGTCAATATGCTGAAATATGGCATAGAAGATTAGGACACTTGAACATGAATGCTCTAATGCAGCTTCAAGAGCATGAAATGGTAACCGGTCTGCCTGAGATGGAAGTGAACACCAAAGTGTGTGAAGGTTGTGCATTTGGCAAGCATTCCAGATAAGCTTTTCCCAAGGAAACTAAATGGATAGTTGTCTTACCATTAAAATTGATCCACACTGACATATGTGGACCCATGCAAACACCTACCAAGGCTGGAAACAAGTATTTCATCACTTTCACAGATGATTGTACCAGAATGGGATGGGTTTATTTTTTTAGGAGTAAATCTAAGACATTCAGTGTGTTCAAGAAATTTAAAGCAACTGTTGAACTTCAAAGTGGATATAAACTGAAAAAATTAAGAAGTGACAGGGGATGAGAGTATACTTCACTTGAATTTTCTCAGTTTTGTGAAGATTTGGTTTGGAGAGATAGCTCACAGTGGCATATTCCCCTCAGCAGATTGGTATTGCAGAGAGGAGGAATAGAACCATTGTAGAAATGGCTAAGTGTATGCTGCTGGAGAAGGGTATTCCATTTGAATTTTGGGCAAAAGCAATTAACACTGCTGTCTATATTCTAAATAGATGTCCCACCAAAGCTTTGAACAAGAAGACTCTTTTTGAAGCTTACAGTGGAAGGAAGCCTGGAGTGAAACATTTAAGAGTGTTTGGATCTCTATGCTATGCAAAAGTTCCATCACAAATGAGGCAGAAACTGGATGCAACAAGTGTCAAATGCATTTTTCTTGGTTATGGATCTTGTGAGAAAGGTTACAGATTATTCAATCCTGAAACCAAGAAGATTATTATCTCAAGAGATGTAATCTTTGATGAGAACTCTTACTGGAATTGGAAAACTCATGCTGAGAAGAATCTGTCCATTTCAGTCTCTAATGAAGTACATTGTGATGAAGGGAGTAATGTTGAAAGTGAAGTAGATGAGGGGTGTACAGAATCTTTACTGGAGCAACAAGATCAAATTGTTGTTTCTCATTCAAGTCAAGATGAACAAGTGAATCTTACTGAACCGCAAAAGTTTGATCACACACCTCTCAAATTCAGAAGTGTGAAAGATATATATGAAAGGTGTAATTTCTATGTGATAGAACCTGAGTGTTTTGAAGAATCATTAGGTGATGAAGCTTGGAGAAAAGCTATGTCTACAAAAATTGAAATGATAGAAAAGAATGATACATGGGAGTTAGTCAATAGGCCGTTTGATAAACCAGTAATTGGTGTCAAATGGGTCTATAAGACAAAGCTTAATCTGGATGGATCAGTGCAGAAAAATAAGGCAAGATTAGTGGCAAAGGGCTATTCTCAGAAGCCTGGGGTTGACTTTAATGAGACCTTTGCACCAGTGGCAAGGCTCGATACCATTAGAACCTTGATTGCACTGGCAGCCCAAAAGGAATGGAAATTGTTCCAATTGGATGTTAAATCGGCATTCCTAAATGGTACACTACATGAGGAAGTATATGTTGATCAACCACAGGGGTTTGAAGTCAAAGGGAAAGAAGACAAGGTTTACAGACTGAAAAATGCCTTATATGGTCTGAAACAAGCTCCCAGAGCTTGGTATGATGAGATAGATACATATTTGAATCAGTCTGGTTTCAAGAGAAGTCAAAGTGAAGCTACTTTGTATACTAAATTCAGTGATGCAGGTGTGCTTATTGTATCTCTGTATGTAGATGACATTATCTACACAGGGAGTTTTGATAATATGGTTCAAGAATTCAAAAATGATATGATGAAACAGTATGAAATGTCAGATTTGGGATTGTTGCATCATTTCCTTGGCTTAGGCATCATTCAGACAGATAATGGCATATTCATTCATCAGAAAAAGTACGCCAAGTCTTTACTGGAAAAATTTGGTTTGAAGGATTGTAAAGCTGAAAACTCCACTTACTAGTACTGACAGATTATCCAAAGTCGATGGAAGTGAGGAAGCTGATGAAGGTTTATACAGGAAAATGGTTGGTAGTTTGTTATATCTAACAGCTACTAGACCAGATTTGATGTATGCATCATGCTTGTTGGCAAGATTTATGCATAAACCTACCATGAAGCACATGGGAACAGCTAAAAGGGTATTGAGGTATGTATAAAGGACACTGGATTTTGGAATTGAGTATGTGAAGGGTAAAGCTGCTGTGTTGATAAGCTATTGTGATAGTGACTGGGCAGGAAGCTTGGATGATATGAAAAGTACCTCGGGCTATGCATTCAGTTTTGGTTCAGGGGTATTCTCTTGGGCTTCTGTTAAACAATGCAGTGTGGCACTATCTACTGCAGAAGCTGAATATGTATCTGCTGCAGTAGCCACAACGCAAGCAATGTGGCTCAGATTTGTGTTGTCTGATTTTGGAGAAGAACAAGTAGAGGCTACATCTTTGCTCTGTGATAACACCTCTGCCATAGCCATGTCCAAGAATCCAGTATTCCACTAGAAAACAAGGCATATCAACAGAAAATATCACTTCATAAGGGATGCTATTCAAGATGGCACCATTGAATTACACTACTGCAGAACAGATGAGCAATTGGCAGACATGTTTACAAAGGCTCTTCCTAAAGATCGGTTTGAGTACTTGAGAGATGCACTTGGAGTAAAATCAGCAAAACATTTAGAAGGGAGTATTGGTGTATAAATGTATTTGATGTGTTAGGTTTATTATAAGCATTGTGCAGGTTTTAATGTAAGTCATTGGATCATATTCCATATGGTATCTAGATTAGATTGTAATGAGTCATATCTCATGACAAGTGTAAGCATCTTACATGATGGCTTAGAAATGAATGGTTTTGATGTTTTTGTAATGTTGTGAGAGGGTGAAGTTGTTTCTCACTCCTCCAACGGTAAAACATGCTCTTTGAGCTCCTTGCTTAGAGAGCAAGCTGAATACATTGAAATCTAAGAAAACTCTGTTCTCTGTGTGTGTTCTTACTGTTCCATTGAGTCTACCCAGAAAATCAAATGCTAATAATCTTACTAGCAAGCAATTGTTTAAACTTGTTGATTAAGACCAAGGGTTTGTTGTCCAAATCTTTTGAAATGAAAGATATGGGAGATGCTTAATTTGTTTTAGGGATTGAAATAGTCAGAGATAGATCAAGAGGTTTGTTGGGACTTTCACAAAAGACTTATATTGAAAAAATGCTTCAACGTTTCAATATGCAGCAATGTTCAGGTGGTGAGGTTCCAATGGGAAAAGGGGATAGACTTAATAAGTCTCAATGTCCTAGAAATGAACTTGAGAAACAAGGTATGACAACGAAGCCCTATGCTTCTTTGGTTAGAAGCCTCATGTATGCACTAAACCTAATCTTGCATTTACCATAAGTGTGTTAGGGAGGTATCAATCGAACCATGGGGAACAACATTGGGTTGCTGTGAAAAATGCCTTTAGATATCTACAAAGGACAAAGGTATTCATGCTAACCTACAAGAGAGTTGAGAATTTTGAGCTTGTGGGGTACTCGGACTCAGACTTTGCTGGCTGCATTGATGATAAGAAATCAACTAGTGGCTATATATTTGTTCTTGCAAGAGCAGCTATGTCTTGGAGAAGTGCTAACCAAAAGGCACTAGCCACTTCCACCATGAAGGCTGAGTTCATAGCATTGTTTGAAGCCACAAAGAAAGGGATGTGGTTGAAGAATCTCATAAGTTTCATGAGGATCGTGGACACCATATCAAGACCTTTGACTATATATTATGATAACAAGTCAGCTGTATTCTTCTCGAATAATAACAAGAAATCTGATGCTACTCGGTTGATGGACATGAAGTATTTGTCAGTAAAAGAGCATGTGAAGAAAGGAGAAGTACATGTTGAGCACATTGATACACAGCTTATGTTGGCTGATCCATTGACAAAACCATTGATGGTGGGAGTCTTCAAAGATCATGTTGCAAACATGGGTGTGCATGATGATTTTGAATCAACTGAAATGTAGGAGTAAAGAAAGCTGCTGCATGATTTTGATAGCATCTGGACCTGATGCTTGGTTTATCTTATTTTCCCTATGCTTATTGTAAATAATGCCATGTTGATTCAGTTTATAATATGTATTAGTACAACTGACTTATGTTCCAAAAAGCATGTTAGTTTCATATGATTATGCAGGAAGCTTGAAAAGCTAGTATCCAGTGATTAAGGTTGAAGGAAACATAAAGTTAGTTTTATAAAGGTACATTGGGTACGTAATTGTGTGGGAGCAACTGAATGTAGAAATAAAGGATTACTTATACGGAATCTGTATATAAATGTATATATCAATTGCATCATGCAATATGATTTTGAGTATTTTGATTCTAGGGTGGATGCAATAAGTTTACATGCATTATTTTCTGGAGTTCAAACCTCAAATGATTATTGGCAGCTGAGTATATGAAGCTAGCTGCGTCAAAACTCGAACGTGATCACTAAGGAAAAATTTGTCATGGACTTATCATTATAACTAGTTAACATCCATATAGGAGAATGTAAGAATCCTATGTGGACTAAACTAGTTATGATTAAGGTGAAATAATAGGTTGCTTAAATACAAATTAATTAAGAGTTTGAGTACGTGTAATACTAGCTCCTATAACTAAGGAATATAGTTCCAACTGCTGTTGAAAAGCACGTTCCACAACAACTAAACCACGACTGGGATTAGCAATGGATGAATAATCAACCCTCCACGATAGATGGAGGTTGGCGACCATTGCTTCTATACATACAAGGGTTCCCTACTCACAGAGAATACATTCTGAATACGAGGGTTCTATCACCATAAGAATATAAGGTCTCCAAGTGAGTAGAAGAAACTACTTGAGTTACATCCATGGCTTCCTCAGGTTCAACTCTAACTAAATACAAATATGCATGTGATTAGAGGTTCTGTTAATACTAATATTCCAACATCGACAAGATATCTGTAGAAAATGGGATTGAAGTTTCGTACTTGAGCTAACCTGCGTCATTTTCAATCTATTAGAGCCTTTGATATGCTAAAATAATATTTGAAATCTCTAGTTAAAAATGGATCTTCACTTTGTTGATTGGTCAAGGCAGATGTATAGCAGTGCTATACCAACCATTCATCTACATGCAAAACTTGTAATTTACGCAAGCATGTTGAACGTGCATGCATGCGTTTTTTCATACGTACCATTATTGTTCACTGGTGACCGCTGACCAGACAAGCAATTATGGGTAGAATTCACTTTCACACTTTTGGAGAAACCCCAATTATTTCACGCAGCCCTCCACTTCCCTCCAAGGCTTTTTGATTATTGCATCACCTCATACGAATATGCATGCCCTCCTGCTGCTATCTTACTAGAGCCTGTTATGGAGAAAGCAGCAGGTGCTTAATCACCTTCAAATGTTTGTCTTAAGCATATATGAATTTTCAATAAAAATTTTGACGTGTGAATAATAACAACACTTCTAGTAAAAAACGTCTATGAATAAAAGTATTTCTTACAAAAGTAATTGCAAACCACATCAATAATCCAAATAAATTTAGGGGCCATAACCCTTTTTCCTTTTTTTTCTTTTTAGTTTTCATTTTTGTTGCTAAAGATATGGAGAAAATATGAGAGAAAGGGGGTTAGGGTCTTCCTCAGTGTTACACTAGATAAAATACTTTCAAACTTAATATTTGATTAAAAAGCAAGTAGTGAATTGTCTTGGTGGTTAGGGTCTTCCTCTTTAACCCACTGCATCCCGAGTTTAAACCCTCATCACTTCTCACAGTTTAAATAAATTTAGTGTAGATAATATATCGTTTGTAAAAACAAAATATTTTATAATTAAAAAAACCAAAATTGAATTGATAATGGGTGAAGAAATTTCAAACCTCATTAACAATTAATTAAGCTTGACAATTGAATAGATAAGGAGTTCTTGAATTCCTTTCATAATCTCCTATTGTACGTAATCTAAGATTACTGAGATTCCTTTCATCATCTCTAAATCAACTCAGTTCTTGAAGTACTTTTGTATAGTTTTAGAGTGTTTTTTCTAATTACTATTTCATCATTCAATACGAGATGACGAGAGAAATCTCAGTAATCATAGATTAAGTAGGTCATAAAACGAACTTAAACACTTTTAATCCCATTATTATTAATCTAGTGTCACGTTTCGTTGATCTGACGGAGGAATGGGACAGTTCCGGAGGCATGAAGCCAAAACTTGTGTGCAAATGAACACTCACAAAAGCAAGATGGTTTAGGATGGTGGTTGCTTGTAAAAAGCACAAGCAAAGCCAACAAAACATCTTTACTTAAGGAATGACCACAATCAAATAGAATCTCGAAATTATGTCGTTTTGGGTAGGAAAGTGATTTTCAGACACTCATTTTCTTATGTTTACTTTTAGCCCTTGAATTGAATTAGTTAAACGAGAAATTATAGAAATAAGCTGACCAAAATACTCCACGTGCTCATTTTCTAACACCTCCCATTAACGTTGGATTCTTTCTCACCAATTTGAATATAGACACACAAAAAATGATAAATAAATCAAGGGCAAAAGACTGTTTACTACCCTCAAGTTTCGTGGTTTTCAACATTTGGTACATGAAATTTTTTTCGTCCCAAAGTCATACCTAAAGTGTTAATTTTGGGACAGTCTCATACATCCGTTAGTCTGGCTGTTAACTCTTCCGTTAACTGATGACATGGTGTCCATGTGGACAATGACTAGATGCCACGTGTCATTAAGGATCCACATGGAAATTAAAAATTAAAAAAATTTGGCTTCCTCCCTTATCCCTCCATTCTCTCCTCTGCACCAACCCACCAAACCCTTTGTCCTCTCCTCTCCATTCTCTCCGCCTCACTTGCATAAGCATCAAAAGCCTTAACGCAATCCGGATATTCCATATCAAAAAACTTATCAAGAAAAACCTTCAAAACCTCCATTCTCTCCATATCAAAACACAAGAGGAACCGACTCCACAAACCTCGACTTGGGCTTCGAGAACGTCGACCAGGAAAACGAAGCTCACCGGGAAGTGGGTTCGGCTGGGATTTTCGGCGGCTTCCCCAGCGGCGGCGAGGGACTCGGCTTTGGGATTTCTGGAGAAGCAGAGTTGGAGACCCTGAGGCTCTGTTAGTTGGAGAGAATGGTGCGGCAGAAATCGTGCGACTGCCAACCCTTCTCTCTCCTCTCATCTCCTCTCTCTCTCCCCCCTCTCTCCCCTCTGTGTTTCATAACATCAGGCTTTCTCTCTCCTCTTCCTCTCGGAGAGACATATACAAATACTCCCTGGCACAGCCCCTCCCTCGATTTTTCCTTTAATATTTTTTTCAATTTTTTATTTCTAAATCTCACCCATTCGAACCTAGCTGCAGCAGTACAAAGTTCTCAACTTTTGCCCATCCGAGCTGCTATTTAGGTAAAACCTCAAAGCTCCCCCAATTTGAATTTCAATTCAAAATTTCAATTTCTAGGGTTTATTTCGATTTGGGTTTGTTTGGAATCTGCTCTTTCTTTGGTATTTTTTGTTATTCCATCGTCGGTTATGGCCTTCTGAGATGAAAGGGCCATGGGCGTCCATGGCTGCTGCCATGTTTGCTTAGTGTGAAAGGCTGATTTTCTTTTGGGTTTGTGTTTCTCTTGCTAATTTTGGATATGTTTGGATTTTGTTTTGCTGGGTTTGTCAAATTTCTGTAAATTTTCTATGAAGAATTGAACATTTGTGCCTGTCTAGGGTTTAGGTTTCGGCTGAAATGTTAATATCCAGGTTGAGATTTAGAAAAAAATTTGGGTTTTGAGTTATGTGATTGGATTTTTTGAGAGAGAGAGAGAGAGAGAGAGAGAGATTTAGTAGGATTTTATGGAAAAGGAGTGTGTGAGAACCGATCCAACAACCTCTGCAAATGACCCATTTTCGTGAAAATTCGCTCCGGCTTCATCTCCCTCAATGGTGTCGCGTACACGATCTCGTCACCAAGCACCGGGCATTTGACGGTGGACTGGGAGGAGAGGAGAAGAGGGTTTGGTGGGTTGGTGCAGAGGAGAGAATGGAGGGATAAGGGAGGAAGGGAAGCTCGGGGGTGAGGTACAAGATGACCAAAAAAAAAATATTGAAATTTTAATTTACATGTGGACTCCTTAATGACACATGGCGTCCAATCATTGTCCACATGGGCGCCACGTCATCAGTTAACGGAAAAGTTAACAGCCAGACTAACGGATGTATAAGACCTAGTTTGGGAGTGAGGTGCTTAAAAAAAAGCACCTATGAAAAAAAACTGTGAAGGTTTTAGGTGTTTGGTAAACTGAAAAAAAATGGCTTATTTTGGAAGCTGCTGTGAGAATAAGCTGAAATCAAAGGAAAAAGCTGAAGCTGCTATTTGCAGCTTTGGAAAACTGGCTTTTTTTCAAAGCACATGGAGCTACAGTGCTCCTTTAATGAAAAGACCCACTATCAGACTGCTTTTTTTTCCAAAAGCACTTTTACAAAAAAGTTTACCAAACGCTATGCTGCTTTATTTCACAGCCGCTTATTCTCACAGCACAGACGCTTATTCTCACAGCAGCTTTTTTTCAAAGCACAGCAATACCAAACCAGCCCTAAGATTGTCCCAAAATTAACACTTTAGGTATGACTTTGGGATGAAAAAAACTTGATGTATTAAATGTTGAAAACCACAAAACTTCAGGGTAGTAAACAGAGTTTAACCCATAAATCAAATAACCAAAGAACTCTTTTACCAAGCAGCAATTGGGTAATCCAAATTGGTATGTATGAGAACTGAGCTAAGACAGTCAGCCCTTAGTCCTTACATATAATTTTACTCTAACAACTCCCTCCCTACGCACAATATTATTACATATACACCCTTATAATATTTATTAAATACAAAAACCTTGAAATGAAAAACATAAAAACAAAGAATGACTACTATTCTTTCCACTCTAAATGTACAAACAAAACTGCACTTCACCAATAATCTAACAAGGCAAACTTTACATGTAAACCAATTTTACCTCCCTCTTTTACTAGTTTAGCAGCTGTTACTAACCAATGTCCCGGAGCATCATGCGGGCCACGGACAACCTCCGCTGTTTCCACGTATTTAAGAAGCTTTGAAGAGTGATTTAGCATGGGTGGTCCATCTGGATATACACCCGAATTAAGTGCAGCTGGATCCTGTTTTTGCTGATCAGTTACTGTCCGCTGAGTGAAGGTGAACGTTGTGCTCAGATTCGTAAGGAAACTTGATTTGTGAGAAGCCTCTGGTACCGCAGCCCACTCAGTTTTCCGGATTCCACAATTGGGCACGTGGGAAAAATGCAGACGAAGGTGAAGTACTGTCTTGGGCCATTTCCCTTTGCTAAGGAGCTGTGCACCAGTTACAATGTACACGCCATCTGAATCTCCCTTCAACCAGTTGGGGTCATGCTTGACTACAGACGAACAAATTTTCGAATATCTCTTCCAATTAATTGGCTCTAAGAACTGGTTGCTCAACTCAGAGTCGTCAGAACCCCGCCACCAGCTTGGCCTTGTGCTGGTACTACCCACTGAAAGATCCATAGTATTTGGAAGGCTCGAGAGATGTTGTACATGTAGGGCTAGCCGATTTCGTCTTTTCCCTTCTAAGTACAGGCGTAGGCCAACAACTGGCTTTTGACTAGTTGAAACCTGAATGGACAGAAATTAGAGGGGGAGTGAAAATCAATTGACTAAAAGGCATATATAATCAAGACCAAACTGTTTGTGCTTGAGCTATTACAATGCAGTAACGTAACTGCAGATTTCAATTGGAGTTGACAAACAAAACAACGGTATGACTGTAGACATCGAAATTTCAATTGAAATCTGCAGTTACGTTACTGCATTGTAATCATCTCTATTTAGTGTTCACAATGACTTCATTCAGATTTGTTTAATCATCTCTATTTAGTGCATGTTTAAGCAAGAGTGCTCTTTGGTGGGACAAAACCAAATCTGCTAAAGAAAGCCCAATAGATCCCATTGGAATTTAAGATGTCAGACTGAGGTGCGACTCTAGGCATACTGAACAGACAGACATTGAAACTTTATCAAATATGCGTGTAACTTTCAAAAGGGAACACTGCCTTTCAGCATCTATAATTACTTTCCATTTATCTCCAACTGATATTGCATATTTAAACATAGCCGGTACGTGCCAGCCTTGATCTCTCCACAGTCCAGTTTTGGGTGACAAGGCACGACAAGTGTTCTATGGAGGAGGTAGAATTGTAAAACATGCATATGCATACCTACGATAACCCTGGCTTATAAGGCACGGAATCTATCTAAGATGGATAAGATTTGGAAAAGATGCAGCTATCCTTGTATCAACTTTGGTAACTATCAAGGCAAAAGTTTGGTATGCTATTGAAAATTAGACATAATGACATCGCATCTACAGAAAAGATGTTGCTTGCAAACTAAGCAAGAAACCTTTCTGATCCAGTAAATATGGGCAGTGGTTTATCTGTTAGTAATTTGAATTCAATTCAGAATTGGATTTTACTTCAAAGCTTATTCAAAATGGAGTCAGATTATTAATTACAAGACGTGTTGTAACTGCAGGCCATGATTCCTATTCTGTTAGAACCAAAGAGTAGTTGAATCATTTCGATTTCTTCTGCTTCAAGTTTAATAGTCAAAGTTTCAAAATCTATCAATTTCCAAACTCATGTGTATGTGCATGTAGAGAGAGAGAGAGAGAGAGATTCAGGCACCTGTGTAGAGTTAACATAGATCTTAGGACCCATTAAACTGAATTGCAAGGTAGGACAGGTGGCCTTTTTACGTTGAAGCGATAGAGGCATCTCACAGAACATAGGTGCCCATTGCCTAGGAACTTGGAACTCCAAGAAATGTTGTAAATCCTCTGGAGCAGGCTTGTCTGAGATGAGGATTATGGATCAATTAAATGCCCATTTGATGTATAGAAGCTCAAGAAAGATGTGTTGATATCATTGTAGGGTACATGCTGTGCAATTAATATGAACCCTAATAGTAAAACTTATGAACATCATTCCATTGGTTGGGCAGTGGATAACTTACAACGTAGATACAAGTTGATTGCATGACTAAGATAGCCACTTCCTGGAATCCCAGTAAGAAGAGAAGTAATAGGTACAAACTTAAAGAGGATAGCTTCTGGTTCAGTAAGCACTGACTGGAGCCAATTGGAATGACCATTCGAGAACACATCCCCTCCTCGTTTTGAGAAAATCATAGTAAGACCCTGTTCAAGTTAAAAAAGAGGAAAAGTTAATCACAGCCTAGGATTGTTGTTGTCCATACTAAAGTCCTTGATCTTTTTGCTTACATCCTTGCTTGATGTTTCGGGAAAAGTGGTTAACTGCATAGTGTTTGTCTGCAAAATAGGATCGAATACATCTGGAACCTACAGAAATGGTTGCCTTCATCAAATATCTACATGTAGAAAAAAAGGTATAAAACATTGAATAACAAATTTAGCAGTTTACTTTATGTCGTCCATCTCTTGTTTTTCCCCGTAGTAAAGAAGGGCTTCCGCCTGAAAATAGGAAATCCCCAAGATCCTCCAGGCGTCTTCTGACATCAGCTGTGGGAACCGGTGAGGAATATTTCTGTTTGACACAAACTAAATCTTGACCTCCAACAGCCATTCCTATTATTATGTGTGTCCCATATGAACGGATGAACCTAGATAATGCGGCTGGATCCCAACGAGATGGAACAGATTTCTGTACTTTGTTATGCAATATTAATGGAGATGCTGTTAGTTGCAGATAGTATAATGAAATGAAGAAACCATCGAAAGCAAGAGATTTGGTTTCTGCAGCATCTTGAAGCCAGTCTCCAGTTAAATCGAAAATGGCATTAAGATAGCCTGAAGGAATTTTCCCTTGCACAGAAGATTTCTGATTAAGTAGCTCCGACATCTGCAAGAACATTATAACCAAGACTAACGGAATAAGTTTTAAGGCTTAAATATATGTTTCTTTCCATGTAAAAAGTACCAATCAGTACATATAATTAACATTCAAAATATAGTTTGTCATAATTCCATAAACAGGAGAGAGGAGAGAAAGAGAACGAAAAGACTACCAATGGAGAAGCAATACATGTTCCAACCAAAAACTATATCGACAGTCAGCTATAAGCAATCTAGAGTGTTTTAAAACAACTAACACACTGCAGTTAAACGTAAATAACACCATTGACAAAAGAACTGAATGCAGGACTTCCTGAAAATGGAAGAGCAACAGGGGATCAAAATGTTGTATTGCGAAACAATAGCACCCAAAACTTGGTACCATCATCTTTTCTCTATATTTTCCATTTTTGTTGTCAATCTAACTTCTAAAAGAACTTCGACCATAGTACAGCAGAGTATTCAACTGTTTCTCTTAAACATAGTATTCCATCCGTATTAACTTAATAGTATAGTGGATTCTGTTGAAAGTATAGAATCCTACATCACGAATTCTAAGCTTAGCGTTTGAGCTTCTCCACCCATGACCAATTGGTCTCGGGCTAGTGAGGATGTTGGGATATCAGGATGCTGGGATATTATACTAGCCTTCGAGTAATTTCCTTAGTCCAAGTAGAATTTCCAGTTTTAATCCCATAAGAAAAGGTAAAGTACCTATGTAATCAAATCTTTCACATTAATCGAGCACAAAAAATGGATTTAAACTTTTGGTTCACTGAAAGCACATATGCCGAGGGTCTTCCTCCTTTGTTCTTTTCCACAAAAGCATTGTATCTGCTACATTTCATATGCATGCTGCTCCACCTTCGTACAGTCAATTACTTTTTAACCTATTTACTACCCCAATCCAGACCCTTTTCATCCCAACTGGAAGGTTAAACCCTCAAAACAACTCCAAATCTCCAAAGCATTGTTGCTGGTCTAGAAATTTCAGAACCCTAATTTTTTGCCCCTGTTTGCTTTTTTTAACATATCCGTCAAAACCGGTCTTCCCAATACCTAATCCACCGCATGAATGAGATGCATACATACGAAGTTTCCCTAACACGTACTATTTCAGAGACAAAAGCAAAAGTTTTTATCCTGAATGTAATACAATAGGGATCACACCTCCAATCAAAACGTCAACTACCTCTTACAACAAAAACAGAATAGACCTTATTTCATAGTGGTATAGCTATGTTTCAACATTGTATTTACATTTAACTTTATCCCTTTGTCCTTAACACAACCAATCTGATTATCTGACCAATCAAAATTTCGTACTTCTCTGGGATCCTCCCTATCGCCTGATGGAGCTTGTGTAGTTAGATGTTGCCTGGTAAGGCCAATAGAGAAGGGAAAGGTCAAGAAATTACAAATCAAACATGCTCCAACTTTCATCACCTCCCGAGTCTAGTTTACTATCAATGTCCCTGAAATCATATTCTATCGCCTATTTAACATCATCTACTGAATCTTGCTTTCTTATTGCCCCGGTGCATCACTTTCTAATTTTCAGCATCACATACCTGTGGCTGTACCTTAGCAGTACTACTTGGTTTTCCCTGCCGTACTCAGGGGTCTGGCCAAAGTGACTTTTCCACAAGTCCCTCCTATGGTCCTATACTATGTAGGTCAGTTTTGGCTTTGATATTTGAGTACTAGAGAATTGCAATTGTCAGATTACAAACTCCATGATAACGCGTAAACTAGCTGGCCCCTTCAGTTTCGTACTTGTTTGTAAAAATTCTATGTTTACTTCTCGTTGTCGACATTAGCCTTTGTTAGGATTAGTTATTCTTAGACAAGAGAATCCTTGCAGGTGCAGGAGATGTAATTAACTCTAGAGTTTTGTTATGTAATTGAGGAAGAATAAGAGAGAAGCTTTGCGATTTGCCCGTTGGACTGTGTTTTGATCCTTACTGGTCTTCTTAACCAAGTATTAGCCACAGTAAATTAGAAACTAGGGGCTCGTTTGGAAAGTGCTTTTAAATGATCAAAAGCACTTTTGGAGAAATGTTATTGGGTTTTCAACAAAAGTAATACTAATCAACTTGATTAGCTTGATTAATTAAATAAAATCGATATAAGCACTTAAGGCACCTAAATTCCAAAAGAGAAAGCAGTTTAATCAACTCAATCAAGCAGTTCTCAATCACAACAATTACCATAAACCAAACACAAAATTGCAAAATCTCAAAAGGAAACAATCAAAGATTGAGAATTTTTCACCTGATTTAATTCAAGAACATCGGATTTGAACCGAATTCGATCGCCTTTATCGCAACTAATATCCTGAGGAACTCCACGAATGACAACTCCTCCAGCATTTGGAATCACAATGTCCCTCTTACTAGCCTCATTCAGCACTACCAACCTCCCATCACCTCCCTTCAACCCTTTCGCAAACTTGAGCCTGAAATCGCTGCTCAAATCGAATCCCTGCCCAAGTGCCTCCAACGCCCTCACTTCTATGGCCTTCTGGGGGGCACCCTCCATCTTCATCCTTCTCTCTCTCTCTCCTATCTCTCTCTCTCCTATCTCTCTCTAAACGATCACAAGAAATGGCACCAACCCATGTGCTACTATCAACCCAAATCAGCAAAAGTGCTTATGATTTGGTTAATTCAAGAAGTAGCTTTCAAATTCAAAGACTTGTCAGCCAGCTTTGAATTGAACCGCCACCAAGAACAAATGATTCAACGAAAGACAAAGTACGAGAATTTAATTTATCCACGGTTCAAAAAAGTCAACTAAGTGTGCTGTCCGTTTGTTTGTATACTTTTTATACAGTCTTTTCATCTTTACGCTAAGTTAAATAAAATAAAAATTAAACCTTGTAAGAACGGCAATGGCTACATATGGAAAGACCGGCTCAAGGGTTTGAACGTGGAAGATTCCGCTTGTAACGTCGAAAATTATAATAACTAGCTTCTATGCACGCGCGTGACCGGCTTAAGGGTTTGAACGTGGAAGATTCCGCTTGTAACATCGAAAATTATAATAACTAGCTTTCATGCACGTGCGTGAGCTCACATGCGTGCATAAAGCCTATTTTGAATCACGACGTGTTACGCGTGATTTACATGTTTTAAATATATTTATTAATGTAGATGGAAATGAATAATAAATACATTTAATAAAAGCGGTCTTTTAACTAAGCAGCTGAATCCATATTAATAAAAGCGGTCTTTCAATTTCCATCTACATTTTATTGAATTTACATTAAGATTAGAAAAAATAATATTTAATAAACAACTGATTGTTAGCCCATTGTGAGACTAAACATACTCTCTCCCTTTAGTGTAAATAACATCGTTTGTTAAAAATAATGATCATTTGACAACTAATTGAATCACATTATTATGCATGTGCGAGAGACTTTTTTTATAACTGGCACTACGCACCTCTTAAGTGTTTAAAATTTGAGAAATAATATTTCATAAACAACCGCGTGCAAAAGGTATTTTTTGAATCACAGCACGCTACTCGCGACTTAGACATTTTAAATGTATTTATATGCGTCAATTGCTTCAATTTTTTTTTTCTTTTTTTATCACTGGCGCTAAACGCCTCTTAAGATGTTTTGAACACATCAATCATGAATTTTCTTATTTTTATTATATTTTTTCCCCATCACTTGGGCACCATCAATTTTGTCATTTGTTTATTCTTTTCTCTCTTCCCTTTCATTTTTTTTATTATTTTCTCTCTCTCCATTTATATTTATATTTTATTTTATGATGATCAAATTACCAACTTACCCTTGCATGATTTGATATATTATTTTGGGTAGGTTTTGAATTTTTAGGCTAAGGGGCAGTTTGATCCAATTATTTTTGTCAAAGGGGGTAACACCAAAATTTTTGTCCCATGCGTGATCCAAAGCACTGTTCATCTCACCATTGGCTTTATATATAATAGATTAATGGACAGTTACATGACAATTATCAATCCTCTTTGCTCAAAGAAAAGAAAACTACTTGCACGGCATGATCTATATGGAGCGTAACATCGATACTGATAGTATAAATTTGTATAGAGGATGAAATTAAATTAAAAGTTGTCGATTTTGTTAATCATGTAGTTTTAAAAGGTAATGAAAATTGTAGTAATGGTCCATCAATTTTAATACAATTAGAAAGTTGATTTTTCAACTAAGGGTTCGTTTAGAAGGGCTTTTAAAATTACTGAAAGTGCTTTCGTTAAAAATGTTTTTTGAACCAATTCTTAGTAAAAACTCAATTAAATCCTGGAAAGGCACTTGATGTGCTTCCTGGAAGCACTTTCAAGTGCTTTTGGAACCCAAAACATTTTCTCTAAAGTACTTTAAGTTATTTTAAAAACACTTCCAAACGAATCCTAAAAGAACATGACCATTGATCTATTAACTCATCAAAATATGAATCTATGGTCTTTTTCGTCAACTCTGTTAGAACTTTTGTCAAAATGAGTCACAGTGGATGGAACATTGCTACAATTGGTTAAAGTTGAAGGACCATTTCTCTAATTTGGTTAAAGTTGATGAATCATTACTCCAATTGAGTTAAAGATGAGGGATCACCACTACAATTTTCTCATTTTATTTTTCATATTTGCCCATTGATTCGCCTCACATGTGTGGCGTGTGACTCATTTTAATGGAAGTTCTGACGGAGTTGACGAAAATGACCATAGATGCACGTTTTGATAAATTAAAGAACAAGATCATAAGTTTTTAGTTGAGGAGCCAACTTTCCAATTGAATTAAAATTGAGAAACCGTTTCCACAATTTTCTTTATTATTTAAAATTACACGATTAACAAAATTTACAACTTTTAATTCAATTTCATCCTTAATTACAAGTTTATGCTATCAATATTGGCGTAACGTTCCACATAGATCATGTCGTTCACATAACAATCATTTTTTTATATTTTAATTAAGCGACCGTTTCTATAATTTTTCTTAATAGTATGTAACCCTATTTAAGATATTTTTCTATTCAAAGCTCGCATTGATCGTGCTGATTTTTCTTTTTTAATTTATATTGTCTTGTATTATCCAATTGCGAAAAATAGGAAGCCAATAAATTCTTGGGTGGTTGGTTTCTTTTCAAACAAAATGTGAAGTGTCGACAGTTGAATCCTTGAACATTGACTTGGGAGGAAAGCTGGCAGCCTGTGGCTTCCCAAGTCAAACCTCCATTGCCTAATTTCTTACCGCTCCTCACTTGCTTTTGTTTGTATTTGCATCATTGCACGTGTTGGTCAGCGACAGCCTACAGCTTAACGTCGTTAGTTTGGGCCTGTTTGGCCTTTAGCTATTTGTTGCCCTTCAGGTTGAAACATCGTCAGCAGCGGTAGTGCCAGGATTTCATGTGTAAAGAATCTCTCACATACCTAAGTCATTTGGATTCAAACAATAAGAGATTTGAATAATTTGCATAAACATTGAAAGACCCTAAATTCAATAACGAAAACTAAAAATATTGTACAAACACATAAATCCAAATACGAGGTAAAGAATAATTAAGAAAATTTTAAAATATAGGTCAAAGCCAAAGAAAAGATGGTAGAATAAGGAGGCAAAGTGAAGACTGCACCGCAATAAGAGAGAGTGAGAGAAAAATGAGGTCGGACTTGGAACGGAAATGAGTTTGGATTTTGACCACACTTGAATTTTAAGAATATTAAATTGATCTAGAGTGATACTAAATCCACCTCATTGTCTTATTTTTTTTCATCCCATTTTAATAAAAATGATAATGACATATTTATATTTATACTTTTAGAAAGACTTTTAGACTCCTATTTATAAATTTATTATAATCTTCTATCAAAAAAATGGAATACGAATGAAAAAACTGAAAAAGTTTAGCAACCTTTCACCTCCCCCAGCCCGTTTCTCTCTCTCTCTCTCTCTCTCTCTCATCTCTGTGTGAATTTCTTTTACCATCTTGAAGAAAAGCTCAAAGGGGTTGCAGCATGAACAAATCTAATTTGAATTTCTAGGGTTCTGGTTAGTGAAGAAAAACCGAAAGCAATTGAATTGGTTTTATCTTGGATGCTTAGTTGTGAGAGAGAATGGCGTTGTTTTTTTATATATGAAGAAAGTTTCAACAGTTGAGCTGGATGCTTTCTTTCCAATTAGACCAAAATTTGTAAGATGGCATGCTACTTTCTTTGAAGATGGTCATTTGGATACAGCCAAAGTGCTTGGACGAATCCAATGGTGGGGTCTGAGAATTCTTGTTAGGTTGATTTGATCCAAATAGCACATTCGATGAACGAAATCAACTCAGGCAGTGCCATAGGTAATATATATATATATATATATATAAAGAAAAAAAAAGAGGTTATTTTTGAAATAATAGTGGGTGGGGAAATAACTTTTTAATTTTTTAAGTTTCTATGATGGTTGAAATTATAATGTAGGTGGGAAAATATGACAATGTGGTGGGTCTAGTAGCACTCACCATCTATTATAGTAGCAAGAAAATGAAAAGATCATTCTGGTCCCTTAAGAGCTCCGTCATTGTGGGTCATGTAATCCTATTAATGACTATTATGTTATACTGTGATAATATCAATTTACACTCATCGGATTTCATAAGAACGCTAAAGTGAAGTGAATTTAGGCGAAAATAATAATATGATAAGTGACTCCTTGACGTTCTCGTGTTGCATCCCACATGTGCGAGATTTACAAATGACTACTTGTAAGGAGCCATCACAAATCCTTCTTAAATAGCTATGTAATTCTGCATTTCTGATCATTCTATTTAACTTTTAATAATCCATTTATTTCTCACTTTTAAATCCCTTTGGAATATAAAAGTCCGTCATGTAAACAATACCCCTAATGAATTAGTAAAGCCGCCAAAAAGGACGAACTGCTACCGTCAACTCTTATGTCGACGGAGAGACTGGGTCAACGAAGACATTGGGTTTGTATGCGATTTGGAATGTTGAGACCAAGTACAACACATCAGAAATATAGCCTATGTAGATAAGCGATTTCAAACTGCTGACATCCGCCACATGGTAAACTATTGCCTCTCACGCCCCGATTGATTCTATAATATACTTGGAATGGTGCATATTTTCAAACACACCAGTTGAACTTGAATTCAATGCTACGTGTCGTTCAATGCTATGAGTGTTTTGATTGTTAGGTTTGATTTCTTCAAGTATTTAGGTCATCTATTTTCAATCTCAACCATTAATTCATATATCATTCAATCTCGACCATTAATCAATCGACTCCCCAATATTATTTTCCGCATCTGGAAACATTTCAGTGCAATACTGGCATGATACAACGGGAGGGGTCAAATGCAAGCAGTGATTGATTCTCTTTTCCAACCATGCCAGCCTCCTCTCGATGCTCAACACCGCGATGTGCATACACCGAATTTCAACCTGGGCAACTCTAGCGCAAGAACGAAGCAAGATGTAATAATCTGCATGTGCAACGTAAGTATACGCACCTTCATCCTTCTTCCGCACATAGTGAAGGTAATCAAATCTTTTGAGGTTCACCCTCGGGGGAATATAGCAAAACCTCTTCTCCTCCATGTCTAATTTCATTCGACGAATGGCTTCATCTTTGAGAGTTTCCGCGTCATTAGCTCCTGAGCCATGACTATTTTGTGAACTGGCACAGGAATGATCGCCAGTTTTGTTCCTTTGATGGTCGCCTGCGAAGGGAGTGCCATCACTTGCACATTCGTCACTGTCCCTCAACATTTTCTGTTCAACATCTCTATCACCAAACAATCCTTTTCCGGCTGCTGTTTCGGAATCCTGAAAACCAACAATATACATTGTGAAATGGTGTATTATTCACAGGTCGGACTAAAAGCCTAGTTAAGTATGTCCTTCTCATTGTCTATATGCATCAAGACAAAAACCAGTGAAACAAATGCGGTTAACTAAAAGTGAACACGAGATGTATCAAAGCTCCAGAATCACAAACTTCAAAGGGCGAAAAAAGATAATATCCCGTTCGAAAAAACTAGCCTGTATGCAGTATATGTATTGAAAGCTCAAATGAGTGGCATGAAGTACGGCCACATCTCAATTAGAGAGGCTTCCATCAGAATTTACTAATCACACTAATTTTCTAACCTTTTTTTTTCCATATTTTTCTATCTTTTTCAAAGTTAAGGAAATTTGCTAGTTGGAGTCCAATCAATGGGGTCAAGCCACAAAATGTCCACGATGGGCTGCAAATAAGAAAAATTAAGTTTCAAGGAGAAAGCCCAAAGGTCTGTTTGGTATCCTATTTGAAAATTTTTATTATTTCTCAAAACATTTCTTGAAAACAATTTTCTTTAAGACTCAAAAACTTGATTGGTTTGTTATTTAAAAATTTTAAATCTTACGACTTAAACTAGACAAAGAGATCTGAAAATAGGGGGTCGCAGGAGAGGGAGAAAGAGGAGAGAGAAGGAAAGAAAGTAAGAGAGGAGTGAAGGAAAGAGAAAGAAGAGAAAGGATTGGACGAGATAGTGAGGAAGATGAGTGAAAGAAAGAACCAAGAGAATAAAGAGAGCGGATTGGAGGAGAGACGAAAAATTTTTAAAAAAAAAAGGAGAGAGAAAGAAGAAAAGAGAGAGAGAGAGAGAGAGATAGGTTTGGAGTGAGAGGGGAGGAGGGAGAGAAGAAATGAGTGAGTTTAAGTTTAAAAACTCTAAAAACTCACTTTTTATGTTTTTAGAGAATAGACTATATTTCTTAGTTAGTCTTGAGTTCAGTTTTTAAAAATAGTCATACCAAACAAGTTTTTAAGGCATAAAACTTGAAAATTGTTTTTGAGTTTAAAAAGTTGAATTCAAGCAGAGTACCAAACAAGCCCCAACTTTATAAAAAAACAAAGGATGCCTAGCCTCGCCATCATTGTTTTCTGGTGTGAAATACTGACAAAAGTGACCAATCTTTCCAGTTGTTATTACAAAGAACTTATATACTTCAGATAGAGATGCTAACAAAGCAAATTTCATAACATTCTACAATCGGGTATACCAATCAGGTTGTTTTCCTTGGCTTACTACATATATATTTACATCTAACCAAGGGCTTCTGAAAGAATTTGAACTAATTGTGCCACAGTTAAGCGTTTCTGTCCACAATTAAGCTGAGTACAGAAATTTTTTATCTAATATGTGTCACAAAATATGTGTTTGAGAAGACAATATCGCAACAGAAGTCAAGCTATACATTACCTTTCCACTCTGATAAAATTCCCATAATGATTCAATTAGCTCTTCTTCCTTTTCATCATTCAACAATGATTTTGATCCAGCAAAGACTACATCCTTGCAGAACTGCAGATACGTTGGCAAGTCCTTGCAATATTCTGCCAACAAAATGTGAGAATTTAAAACTTTATGATCGAATAATTGAAGGGAAGGGTGGGGGCAAATTGATGAATAATACGAAGAACACCTACTGAATTGCATCATTATTTCAACAGAAAACGGCTCCCACATATTTACCATAAGAATCGGCAATTTCATTATATCTTGCTTCAAGGCTGGACAGAAGTTCTGCAGCATCCAATTCAGAGCTCTGAGCATTTGACGAGTTTCTACCAATATCTGTACCCAAATCATCCAGACTGCGGGACGGAGAACCTGAATCCTCTTCTGAGCCAGACCTCATTTTGGAGCTGGATATGGTATCAAGATCTCCTTTTTGGTTTGATGTGGAAGACAAAGCATGTTTACGGGACAAACATTTTTCCCATTCTCCAAAACCATGAATATTGTACAGAATTCTCACTGCTACAATCACTATTGACATTACAAAAGCACGAGTAGGAAGCCTAAACTCATTTGTTGATAACCACAAATCTGGAGGCATTGACCACTCATAAATGCGGCACGCATGAGGGAGGATCTTTTCAACTGGAAGAGATAACTTACCTAGATAGCGTAAAGCTATAGCATAAAAATTGACTGGAGGTAAGTGCAAGCCTATGGACTCAGAAATGGTTGCTGCCAGTGATTCCAACTTCTGCACTGGCACAGATTCAGTAGGCCTAAACATTAAGCTTGAACTTATTGGACATGCGCGTGAAGGCCCTCCTAATTCTTTTTCAATTTGAAGAAATGCAGAAAAATATGGAAGGTTTCCTTCTAATGACCATTTTACTATATCTGTTGGTAGGACTGCTTCCCTGGAAAGATGACAAGCCAGAAAGGAAACAGCTAGAGTATAAGATAATGGTATAGTGTTTCTCAACGACCTAAACCATACCATTACTGCTCGCTGACCATACTTTGTGTGCGGTTCTGCTCTGTAATTAGCACGCGGCTTATAACCTTCTAACGTGTCTCCTGAAACAAGGAAACTCAGTGATCAAAAACAGCAATAACCATAGAAGAAAATAAAGGAGCCCAATAATTAAAAAATCATTGAGATCAAGAATTTTCTAAATTTAATGAATAAATAAAAATTAATGCAGCAAAAGACCTCTACCAGACAACCACTGAGATTCATTTTTCTACAACAATAATTGAACATAAGAATCAATTAAACTGAAATATTCCTTTATGTTTCTTTCAAGCAATTGAGTATTGCTTCAATAACCAAAATCCACAACAAGAAAACTCAACTCAAGTGAAATATATAGGTTTACTCTCTTAAAGAAATGAGATTTAGTAGCTAAAAACCTTGTCGGCCTCGGCACATCTCAGAGTCAGCCCAATCATCATCGAAAACCCGAGTCCCTGCCAGGAAGCGTAGCCAAATGGTCGCAGACAACCCACAAATCATAGGGTTTACCTTAAACTTCCTAACCAAAGCCTCGCATTGGAGCTCAATCAGCCGCTGCAGTCCCATCACATACCTAAGTCTAATCTGTGTATAATAGTCCTCCACACTCAACTCTATGATTCCATCCAGTCCGAAATCTGTGGGACCCGTGGGTCCCTTGGCATCCACAGCATTGTGATCCTCTGTTTTGGTTTGACTAAAAGCGTTATAAAAAGGCGAGATGTTGTCTAAGGGTTGGGAAAGAGGCTCAGGTTTGACGGCAGAGCTAACGCCGCGGCGGACATGACGATTAGAGTAGAGGCCTCCACGTGCATCACCATCTTTATCGTAAAAATCCTCATCTGCGACTCCGGTGTCCTGGTAGTCCTCGGCTCGTGTGCTGCAGTTGGTGCAGTAGAAGTAGCCATCATTGCCTTCAACCAGCCCCACAGTGCCACAATTTTCGCAAATCCACTTATCCGACATCGAGGGGGTGAACTACACCAATGCTCCCTGAATATGGGCTATGCTATATCTCAATGCTTCCATCTCCTGAGATCCTTGATCATGGTGATTTTGGTCGTTTTCTTCATCATCATAATTATATATCTCTCTTCACTAAATAGAAACACAGGCCTTTTTTTCTTCTGACATTACTGTGTTGCAATCCTTTATTGACGCTCATAGCTCAGTCGGACCCAACCACAACTTGACAACAGACCCATATTTCTTGTGCAAATCCGACAACACATCTGATCAATGCCAAACGAAAACAGTAATCAGTTAAACTTTTCTCTCTATCCCATATCACTAATTCACAATCACAAAACAAAACAAAAAAATTGTATTTTCCACTTCTCAACCTCTTCATTTATTGGAACCCAGGAAAACTCAACAAAATCAATTAAATTTGTATTGATTCTCCTTCCTTCAGCTTATATTCCTAGTGTTCTACTTAAATTTCAACTTATATACCTAGTTTTCTACTTCAAATCAAATATTGATGAAAACCCAAAAACATTCCTTTACTTGTATTCCTGGTGTTCTACAATTTTATATTTTGATTAAAACCCAAAGCATTCCTTTACTCATATTCCTGGTGTTCTACTTCAATTTTATATTTTGATGAAAACCCAGAAACCCTTTTTACATATATTACTACTCTAGAATTTCAAAATTTTATAGAAAATCCAAAAAACTTGTGTGCTTATATTCCTGGAATTCCACTTCAATTTTAAATTTTGATAAAAATAAAATAGAAAAATACCCCATTCCCATTACACCCAGCAACCAAACTTGCAAACTTTGAGCAGAACTCAACAAAGTTAATCTACTGTACTTAACTTCAAAAACCCAATAAAAGAAAAAGCATGAGAGATTGAGAGAACTGCATTAGAGATTGAAGTCTAACCAAGTGATTACCTGTACTACATATTACAGCACCAATTCAAAGAAGCCTTCGAAGAATTGGTGCCCCATTTTCTCTAACCAATGAATAAAACTTAACTCAATCTGCTACTGAGCCTACGAAGTTCAAAGAACCCCAAATCTTCCAATTCTACCTTCCCTCCAATTATCCAGTTCAATATTTCAATCTCCGAACAACAAGATGTCGAAATAGCAAAAATAGAGGTTGAGAGAGAAGGAAATTTACCTTTTTGTCGGTGAAGAGTGCTCGAACCAGATGAGAGGGAGAAATCGAGCTCGAAGGGAGAGTTCTCGAACGGCAAGAGAGAGCTGGGGAGGAGCGGCGAGAGGATATGCAGAGAAGCGTTAGTTGTGAACGGCGCATTGGGAAGCGATAGTTGTGAACGGCGCATTGGGTTTAGTAGAAAGAGACGGGTTTGGATTGTGAAAATTTCATTAATCGGTACTGTTAATCCGCTTTTCTCTTTTTTTTTTTTTTTTAATTTTTTTTATTTTAAGAAAACTAAAGAAAATAACTTGAAAGTTTGAGTTTTAACGAAAATGATAAAATAAAAGGTAAATTAAATAGTATCAGGATTGATTTGTTAGTGTAAAAATATGGTTTTTCATTAAAATGAACAACAGTAACGAGAGCTTTTTGTTCAAGTTTTTTATTTTTTTATAATAAGTACATCGATATTTTTACATTAAGAGATGAGAAGTTCGGCTATACCACATAATAGACAACTTAATTTGGTATCGAATTTGCCATCCATGAGATTCGAACCTAAGACCAGAATCCAGATTATATTACTGAGTGACCGCTTTTCTCCTATTTTGAAAAAACAAATATTAATTTTCTTTATAAAATATAATTAAGGTGTATTTAATTGATAGTTAAGAGATTATATTCACACACCCTCAATTATTTCTCACACTCTTTTATTTTTTTAATATTTTTTTGATATTATACACACCACTAACACTTGATAAAAAAATATTAAAAAATTAAAAAGATGCGGAAAAATAATTTCGGGCATTTGAATATAACCCCTCCAATTTAGTAATTTTAATGAATTTATAAATTTAAATAGAGTGCAAATATCAATAGTGACGAATTTGCAATTAATTTATTTTGAAACTTATTATTTTTTGAACAAAAGAAACTAGCTACACTAAATGAGAGGAGAAGAACTTGTGTGAGGCCCGGCTTGCTATTGGACTTTCCTGAGTGGCACTATTAACCATCCAAATGTATTAAGTTTTAAATATAATTTTTTATATTTAAATTAATCGTAATTATTTTTTCTACTAATTAATATACACCATGAGATTCATCAAATACTTTTTTTTTTTATTTTCTCCTCCTCTTTTGTCTTCCCAAACTCTCTGCCGTATGCAATCTTCTTCGCCAAACCGTCTTTCCCTTCATATCCAACTATCATAAAATGAAAATGAAAATCCGACAGATTACATATTTTGAAAAAAAAAAAAAAGTTGTCTCTTCCTTCTTATAATTATGAGCAACATTTTGTTAAAATTTTGTTTGCTTCTTGAATTTTGGGAAGAGGATCCTCTCCTGAGATCAGGATGGGGATTCTCCTGATCATGAAATCCGGACCGTTCAAATTTAATCCAACAGCTCCAAACAGGAGGACCTTCTAAAAATTATAATAATTGCAATCGTTGGATTAAATTTGAACGATCCTGATTTCATGGTCAGGAGGATCCCCATCCTGAGCTCAGGAGAGGATCCTCTTCCTGAATTTTGTATGCGTTTTTGGTGACGAGACTTCATTGCAATTCCAACCCAACGAAAATTAACATCCATGACAATGACAACCCAGTATTTCATCAATATTTTTGGAAACAAGAAACCTAGTTGAGGAAGAACAACTGCTGCACGGTGAAAGGATAGTCTAAGATGAAAAAAAGAATGGAAAAAAAAAGGGAAAAATATGGGTCATTAATCTAAGAGGAAATTGGAGAAATGGTCCTTGAACTATGATTGAATTGTAACTTTGGTGTCCTTAAACTAGAAATTCATTAGATTTGATCCTTGAATTTAACAAAATGTGGAGCATTGGTCCCTGTATACTAACACCGTGAGATTTTCTGTTAATTGGATGATGTGATCTTTGTGGACTTCATATTTTTTGTTAACCCTCTCTCCCCCATCTTCCCTTCCGCCTCACCCTCCTCCAAACCCCAGCCACACCATTGTAGCACTCTTCCAACAACCAAAACAAAAGAAAGTTTCTAATCCAAATTTGGAACACTTCTTCGGATCTCCCTTTGCAAACAAATTTACAATGATATCCATTCATGCTGTCTCGACAGGTAAGATTCAATAATTTTGTGGGATGCGGGTTTGGGGTTCGGGTGAAGGCGGTGGTCCGTGGGCTACAAATTGGGGTCCGCTGGGGAGTGGGCATTAGCGATTGGGGATTGGAAGTGGGAGGTTGGCAGGGAGTACTGTATCAAAGATTGAAGGTGAAGGGAGGGCTACGAGTGTTGGTAGGATGAGGTAGGCCTGCACTTTCTGTTGTATACACTTTTCACTAACAAGTAAACACTTTTACCTAAAATTTAACGGAATTGGTTACAAAGGACTATTCCTCCACATTTTATCAAGTTTAAGGATCAAATATAATGAATTTTTAGTTTAGAGATCAAAATTGGATCATAGTTCAGGGACAATTCCTCCCATTTCCTCTTAATCTAACCATTTGTATTAATTAGAAGAAAATTTAGTTATGATGATTTTAAAGATAAATATGTGGTAAAATAAACGCTCATTTACCATGTGACAAAATTTGAGTGATCGGTAGTGTCACTCAACGAAGTTCGATGGCAAGTCAAGCCCCCACACAAGTTTTTTTTTTCAAAGGAGAGGGAGTGAGCTTAGCCTAATAATAGACTAGCAATAATGTGATTCAAATTCGTTTTTGGCGATAATCGAACATAAGTCATCTCATTTACAAGTAAAGAGAAATACTACTATATTGTAATACTTAATGGCGAGTAAACTTGTTATTCAAATTATATTAAAAAATGAGGGAGGAAATAATATAGGTGGGTGGGCATTGCAGAAAGCCCAATGTCCATTCCTCTTCTCGAGCCTGTCAATTTCTTTTACGACCCCTTAAATTGATATGAAATGACACGAAAATAGTAAGTTTTGATTCAACCTGTTAATGATCGGATCATTACTATATCACGCGTTAACAAATCGTGTCATTATTAGGTCATCCGTTAAGAACATAATAAGATACTGTTTGTCAGGTTTAGATATTAGACATGTCAAATTCTTGCATGATTCGTAAACACAAAATGAAACGATACACGGCCCGTTAACGAATCGAGTCGTTATCGAGTCATCTGTTAAGAATCTGTTAACATAACAGATTTGACACGACATGACTCATTAAAATAACAATTACGACATGAAAACGACAAACACGACCCGTTGTCAGGTTGGAGGCAGATTTTCTGCCCTCCCACTTCCCGTGCCCTCCTATTTGTGTGGTCACGGTTAAGTCACGTCAACATTTTATATTACTATTCTTTTTTATCTTATTATCTCTATAAAAGATATATATAAAATATTAACGCGACTTAACCGTGACTATACAAAACAGAAGGGAACGGGAAGTGAGAGAGCAGAGAATAATCTGCCTCCTGTCAGGTTTACGTCTACGGTTAATAATTGAGGAAATAAGAGAAATTTTCTGGAAGAAGTTTGAAAGAAGGGTTGGCATGAGGACACTCGGGGTTGCTATAGGACTCTCCCCGGTCCCCACCCACGCCATAAGCGTGAAGAGGAAGCATTTCTTGTTCGTACAGTCCCAGTCCCACACCCAATAGCTCTCTACTCTGTCTTCCTCTATGGTTTTTTATTTTTATTTTATTTGTTTGTTTCAAGTTTCTGTCGGTGTCTGGTCTCTCTCCATACAGAAATATGGGTCGGGCGAAGCAGACTGCTAGCAAATCAAGCGGTAATAAGATTCCTCAGAAGCTGCCTACCGTCCAAGTATGTCCATTTTTTTGTTTGGATTCATCAGTTCCTATATTTTAACCTCCTAAATGCATCATTTCAATCATTTTTTGTTTACTTTATTGAGTTGCATTTTCTTGGTTTAAATGTTGAGAAATTTTCAATGTGTCGGAAAAACAACCTGATATACTCAGTATCTAACCGTTTGTATTATGCGGGCACACTGAAAATCACTCTTAAATGTAAAGCTTTGCCCCCATTGAATAACACCGAATTGTTCCACTATATTTTCTTTTTATGGGAAAGAAGATGAAACGTTTGAAATTGCATTTCAGAAATTCAATGTCAACTTTCATAGTCTTCGACAATGGTTTTGGAATGTGAATGGAAAGACGAAGAGAAATGCTAAGAGACTCTCTCAAAAGTAACTCTGTCATATCATAGTTTGACGTCAATTTTTATGTCAATATTATAAAACATTTTGCCAAAATCATGAGTTGGTAGAGAGTTCATAGAGAGTTCTATTTTGAGAGAGTCTCTTAGTATTTCTCAAAGACGAATGGGGAAGTATTTTGCCACTCTCTTTTTCTCCCTGTTCACTCCTCCCTTTTTATGTTTAGCATTAGAAATGAATAAATCAAAAGAGAATCAAAGGACAAAAACAATAAAAGTAGCATATACGGAAAAAAATGAGTTTGTGAATATCACTACTCCTTTTAACAAATGGACTACTCAATGATTTAATCACTTTCTCTCCGTTATTACAATCCTTTATATTATATAAAATAACTTGGGCTATGTTTGGAGTTGAGGTTAAATTAGTAAGGAATCGATCACCAAAAACTAGGTAGGAGGGATTAGAATTTAGAAATGCACTTCATAAGTATTACAAAGACATGCTAGGGGTTAACAAATCCCTACTTGGAATCTATCATTTACAAATCCCTATTTGATACCTGCTCATATGGTGCATGAAAGAATACAAAAGAAATAGGGCATAAATCAGATAGAAGAGACGTAAGTTTGTTGGGTTGTACCTTGATAATTCATTGAAGGCGTATAGTGTGTATTATATACATGAAAATTGCTAAGAAGACCCTTTCAAAAGTGGAACCCTCCATGAACTCTCAGCTAAATTGACATTAAACTTGTTATTAAACTATGAGATGGCAGAGTCCATAGAGAGTCCCCTTAGCATTTCTCTATATACTATACAAAGCGATACAAGGAAGATACATCTGTACATCAGAAGTCTAAAGGTCTCTAATTTATTTGTGCATTGATAATCCCTTGTATCTAACATTTTGTTATCATTCTTCTCTTATTAACTTGATATTAATACATTGGAACGCAGAAATACCTCACCCAAACGTAGCCTTAATGATTCTTAGAGTTCATTTCTAATTTTGGTTTGGTATTTACTATTTTATCCG